TAAGCCTGCAAATATTTCAGATGCTCTCCTCCTTTCTGCTGGGGCCCCATCACTTCATCACTGGATTTCAGGATTCTGCCTCATTAACATAGAATCCAACAGAGCCGTGGCAGCCTGGCCAATAGGACTTTTTTTTTTTTTTTTTTTTTTTTGCATTTGGGCCACATCAGGTGGTGCTCAGGGCTGACTCCTGGCTCTGCACTCAGGAGTTACTCCTGCTGGTGCTTGGGGGGCCTTTAGGATGCTGGGAATCGAACCTCGGCTGGCCTCGTGCAAAGCAAATGCCCTACTTGCTGTGCTATCACTCCAGTCCCACCCAGAACTTCTTCTTTTTTCAGGCGACTTCTCAATGAAAAGGGATTCTGGGATTCTGGGGTTACCAAAGTCCCAAGCCCCCATTTTTAGGTACCCAGAGCATGACGGTACTGTGCATCCCTGCCAAGGCCCAGAACAAGGACATGCGGGTTTTGTTGGATTCGTCATTCCCCACACATATGAAGACAAACCTGTGTCTCCTGCGGGGAGGGGGTGACTACTGAGAGCCCCAAGAACTAGTTCAACCCACACAAATATCTGGAAGGTAAACAGAGTGACACGGTGGCACAAAGACTCAGTCTAGATCAGACACGTAAGTTTGGCGAGCTTCTCCGTGGGGGAAACTGAGGTCCAGAGACCAAGCTGGATGGAAGTGTCGATCCTGGGAGAGGAGGGTGCAGTGGACACGTAGGCCACCTGCCTGGCTCCTGGTCACTCTACCATCACTTTGTCCAGAAGGACACAGCAGTTGCTCCCAGGTTTCAGGGACCCTGGTGCAGAGATCCAGCTGTGTAGAGGTGGCTCGGGCCGGCTTATGTGACACGTGATGGTCTGTTCCTCACCACTGGCTTGAGAACCTTCTCAGCTGCCAACACTGAGTGATGAAACTATGAGATGCTCCTGTCAGCTGCACGGGAGCAAATAGTGACCCCCCAAAGCCTAGGCCGAACCTAGCGTGGTAACCCCCAGAGCGGGCCAATCCTCCCTGAGCCCAGGGCAATTCAGAGGGAGACTTGGAGATAACCACCAGCCCACCTCCATGGTGGAAAAATGGAAATAAACCAGTCCTGCCCCCAGCATGCCTCTGGCCGAGGAAACATTCCCATGTGCAACCTTAGCTCGAACCCACCCCGGGTTTTCCCTGGCTTTGCTCCCTAAAGCCCCCCGAGTATCCGTGCAAGTCTTTGGGGGTATGGTAAGGTGTCTGGGAGGACCCACAAAAATAGGGTGTGTTGTGGAAAGAGAGGAAGAACGGGGCAAGAAACGAGGAGGAAGAGAAGAAGCAGAGCGGGCCTGCTGAATTCCGGAGGAAGCCGCAGCCTTCAGCCCCAACTTGGGGACTGTGCAGGAAGCGAGCTAGCGAGCCAGGAGCCCCCAAGAGCGAGCAGGCACCCCCGTCCCCTCGCCCCAGGCCTCGGGGGTCATCAGAGAACTCAGCTCTGCTGCTGCTCCTTTGCCAAAAGGGGGAGGAAGAGCGCAGAGGAGGGCAAATTAAGCCAGCCCTATTTTCTCGGGCTCTCTTTAAAATTCTCAAGCTAAAAAAAGACTCCGAGTAACAGCCCTGGCTGCTAATCTCACCAGCCCCGTCGCTCCTGGTGCTCTGGGCCACGGGTGTGAGGAAGCAGAGAAGAAATAAATGGGTGTGGGCCGCGAGGGAGAGATGCCGGGTCTCAGAGATGGCAGCCTTGAGTGTACAAGAGGGCCCAGGCACAGGGAGAGAGAAAGGGGGGGGGGGAGAGGGGGGAGAGAGAGAGAAAGAGGGAGAGAGGGAAAGAGAGAGGGAGAGAGAGAGGGAGAGAGAAAGAGAAGAGTGAAAGAGAGGGAGAGTGAGAAGGGAGGAAGGGGGGGAAGAGAGGGGAGAAAGAGAGGGAGGGAGAGAGAGAGGAACAACAAGAAGGATGAAAGAGAGAGGGAGAGAGAGAAGGAAGAAAGAGGGAGAGAGAGGAGAGAAAGAGGGAGAAAGGGAGAGAGAGGGAGAAAGAGGGAGAGAGAGGGGAGAGAAAAAGGGAAAGAGAAAGGGAGGGAGTTGAGTGGGGTCGGGCCTGGAGACGAGGGTCACCATCGTGCCCACAGTCACCTGGGGAGATGCGGGAAGGGCCTCCCTCTGCCCCACGTCCACACTGGGCCTGACAGACAGTTCTGGGCTCCTGGCCTCTCCCCGGGGTGCACTGACCCAGCTGGGAGGGGCTGTGCCTGTCAGGATGTGACCTGGAGGCTGACGAGGCTGGTGTGGTCAAACCCGAGGACCCACTACGTGCCGGCCGACGCAGGGGCTCCCACTGAGGGCTCTGAATCCACGTCTCCCTCGTGGGCACTGAGCAGTGGGCACACTTCCTCGGGCAGCAGCGTGGGATGAACACGTGTCCCCAGATGCCTGCTCGGAGCCCACAGAGCCGAGTTCCCTGGGACAGAAGCTGGCTTTCCTCCCGCTGCTCGAGGCCACCTCCCCCTTGGGCCAGCGGAGGAGGGCACTGTGTCCCTCCCCTCCTCCCGCACAAGTTTCTGCCTGCTGGGATGGAGGGCGCTGAGCTGACTGCAGATGACCAAAAAGCAGTGGCACAACTGACCACGCCTTTCACAGGCCACCTGGCTCACTGGACACGCCGCTCCTGCCCACCATGACCCCACGTCGGCCCCCTCAGGAACTCGATGCTTCTTTTTCTTTATTTTTTCTTTTCTTTTCTTCTCTATCTCTTTCTTTCTTCCTTCTCTTTCTTCCTTTACTTCCTTTCTTTCCTCTCTTCCTTCATCTTTCTTTTTTCTTTCTTCCTTTCCTTTCTTCATTTTTTCTTCCTTCCTTCCTTTCCTTCCTTTCTTTTTCTTCCTTCCTTTCATCCTTTCCTCCCTTCCCTCATCTTTTTTCTTTCTTCCTTTCTTCATTTTCTTCCTTTCTTCCTTTCTTTCCTTCCTTTCCTCCCTTCCTTCATCTTTTTTCTTTCTTCCTTTCCTTTCTTCCTTCAATTTCTTCCTTACTACCTTCCTTTCCCTACCTCCCTTCTTTCCTTCCCCTCTCTCTCTCTCTCTCTCTCTCTCTCTCTCTCTCTCTGTCTCTCTCTCTCTGTCTCTCTTTCTTCCTTCCTTTCTGTTTTGGGACCACACCCAGCGATGCTCAGGAATTACTCCTCACTCTGCACTTGGGAATTATTCCTGGCAGAGCTCAGGGGAACATTTTGGGATGCCCGGATTTAAACCCTGGTTAGCTGTATATAAGGCAAGGGCATTGTACTATTGCTCCGTTCTCACCAGGGGCTTATTTCAGGGTTGAAAACCCACACGGTGCAAACCCCAACACCCATGCTCTAACTACACTCTGCCGGGCAGGTTCCCCGCTTTCCTCACCAGTGATGGAGCCCTCACGGGAGTAAAACAAGTAGCACCCCCTGCCCCCAGAGCCCTCACGAGGGGTCGCGGGTGATTTTACTGTGAATCACAGTGGCACTCTGCCAAGTCTCGGCCCACTCGGTGGAAGCGTCCAGACAGCCTGATCCTGACCCAGTTCCAGTCATGAGCAATTGAAGCAGGATTAGAATACACGGGGGGTGGGGGACTGGGGGTCGTTGCAAGTCTCACCCTCCCCAGCATCAGGACTATGGTGATACAGGAGGCCCCGGGACAGTGCTCTGCCCACGCCCCAGAGGGTGGACAGGCATCACGGAAGAAATGTCCAACTGCTGACAGGAACCAGCTGCCCTGTGGGGTCCCCTCAAGAAGAGTCAAAGTGGACTGATGCCCCCTTGGGCAGTGCCTGCCCATGTTCTCACCATCCCCACCCAGAAGGACAGGGGAGGATTGGGTGGGACCGAGCAGGGCTTGGCCAGGCCCTGGAAGCCCCTGGGATAAATCTAAGTTAGAAAATAGCTACTCCTGGGGCCGGAGCGCGAGGACAGCGGGGAGGGCCTCTCGCCTGGCACGCGGCTGACCTGGGCTCCATCCCCAGCATCCCCATAGGGTCTCCCGAGCATCACCGTCAGGAGTGATTCCTGAGCCAGGAGCAAGCCCTGAGCGTTGCTGGGTGTGGCCTCTAAACCAAACCAAAGTGACAGGGCCCCTAAATGTGCCCCCAAGCAGGGCAAGAACCTGGGGCATCTTCCAGTAGGATACAGACAGAGTCTGATGCCCGGAGCCCCCTCTTGGCAGGGACATGGTGGGGGTATGCCAGAAGCCCCCGAAAGCAGGGCTGGAGGTGTTGAAGGCAGAGTGAGCATGGTTGGGGGTCCCCACAGCCCTGGAGGTGGGCAACTGCTGCTTCCACGATGTTCCCACACCCCTGCCTTGCCAACGAGGAGGGGCTGCATCACTGCAGGGTGCTCCCTCCCTCCTCCAGTGTGTGTTGGGGGGACACACAGCACACTCGGCTCCCACCAGGACCACTATCTGCCAGGCGCCCCCCACCCCGTGCCCCTGAGAGGCACCCACATATCAGGGCCACACCCCCCCTGCACAGAGCTTCCCCGACAGACTCCACCAACACCCCACCCTGCCCCGCTCAGGTTCCAGGCCCGGGTGCCATTCACGTACTCCAGTACTTTGCCCTCCCCTCACCTATCCCCAACCTCTCTGCCAGGGCAAACCCAAGGGCATCACATCATAGACACTTGGGGGGAAGGGGGTGCCTGCAACCAGGAGACAAAAGTTACTCCAGTCCAAAGAGCCATGCCCTGACACCCAACACCTTCATGTTTATTTTTTCAATTTTTTTTTTTTTGCTTTTTTGGGTCACACCCGGCGATGCTCAGGGGGAACTCCTGGTTCTGCACTCAGGAATTACTCCTGGCGGTGCTTGGGGGACCCTGTGGGATGGCGGGGATTGAACCCGGGTCGGCCGCATGCAAGGCAAATGCCCTCCCCACTGTGCTATTACTCCAGCCTGATGCCTTCACGCTCACCAACCCAACCACCCCGGCAGTATGACGGACATCCATAGAAAACCCGCCGTGGGATGGCCGCATGCCCGCAGTTCCTACCTCGCTCCAGACCAGCATGGTACCGAATATGACCTGCAGCCCGTCGAAGAAGTTGTCGCCGATGATGATGACCGTGGCCCCGCCCGTCGTCCAGCCTTCGCTCGGGCTGATGGCTTTGATACACGGCGTTGCTGCTTTTCAACACACATGGAAAAGAGAAGAAGTCGGCCGTTAGAACCCAGCCCTCGAGACGGGAGGCTTGCGAACAAGAGGACCGAGGGAAAAACCAAAGCAAACCATCTTCTAGCTTTACACTAACAGCAAGTTCCTCAAAATCTCAGCGCTCCCTAGCCCGGGACCCCCAGGTGCGGTCTCTCCCTCCACTTCTGGGAAGTGTTATTTTTCCTCCTCTCTCTTGAGATGCATTTTCGCACCCAGATGGCTTTTTTCTTTTTCTTATTGAATCACCATGAGATACATGTTGTCATGTTTGAGTTTCAGTCATACAATGATCAAACACCCATCCCTCCGCCAGTGCACTCTCCACCACCAATGTCCCCAGTATCCCCCCATCCCACCCCTCCCCCTGCCTCCATGGCAATTTCCCCCATACTCTCTCTCTATTTGGGGGCATTATAGTTTGCAGTACAGAGAGGCTATCACATTTGGTCCTTTATCTACTTTCAGCACACATCTCCCATCCCGAGCGATCCCTCCAACCATCGTTAGTGATCCCTTCTCTATTCCAGCTGCCTTCTCCCCCAGCTCATGAGGCAGGCTTCCAACTCTGGGGCAATCTTCCTGGCCCTTGTCTCTACTGTCCTTGGGTGTCACTCTCATATTATTTTATACTCCACAAATGAGTGCAGTCATCCTATGTCTATCTCTCTCTGACTCATTTCACTTAGCATGATACTCTCCATGATCATCCACTTATAAGCAAATTTCATGACTTCATCTCTCCTAACAGCTGCATAGTATTCCATCGTATAGATGTACCAAAGTTTCTTTAACCAGTCGACTATTCTTGGGGACTCGGGTTGTTTCCAGATTTTGGCTACTGTGAACAGTGCTGCAGTGAACATACAGGTGCAAATGTTATTTCTACTGTGATTTTTTTGTACCCTCGAGATATATTCCCAAAAGTGATACAGCAGGGTCATATGAAAGCTCAATTTCTAGTTTTTGGAAGGAATGTCCATATTGTTTTCCAAAAAGGCTGGACCAGTCGGCATTCCCACCAACAATGAAACAGAGTCCCTTTCTCCCCACACCAGATCGCTTTCGAGCCACAGCATTAAGACACAGAAGCAAAATTTAATTTCTTAACTGCCAGAGATGACAGAGAACAGAGGTGGCATCTCAAAAGATGCCTGCGGGCTCAGAGGCATCCAAATAGAGCCCGGGTTGGTACCTCTTGAAAAGAAAAACCCATCAAGTCTGAGATACACGTTTTCTTTCTTTCTTTTTTTATTTAAATCTCCTCAGAATGCTTTGCAGTTTTGTTTTTTTGTTTTTTGTTTTATTTTTATTGAACCACCGTCAGATAGTTACAAGCTTTCATGTTTGGGTTATAATCACACAATGATCAAACACCATTCCCTCCACCAGTGCACATCCCCCACCACCAATATCCCCGGTATAACCCCACTTTCCCACCCTCCCTCTGCCTCCATGGCAGACATGATTCGCCATAATCTCTCTCTACTTTGGGGCATTATGGTTTGCAATACAGACCCTGAGAGGTTATCATGTTTCGTCCTTTATCTACTTTCTGCACACATCTCCCATCCCGAATGATTCCTCCAGCCATCATTTTCTTAGTGATCCCTTCTCTATTCCTGCTGCCTTCTCCCCTTTGCTCATAGAGGCAAGCCGCCAGCTATGGAGCAATCTATCCATCCCGTAGAAATACAAATGGGCAGTGAGGGGCAGGGGGAAATCGGAAAATCAAGAAAGAGGAAATTTTGGCAGGGAAAATCAGCCTGGGTGCATGCCTTCCCTCTGGAGCAGCAACGATGAGAAACGCTTCTCATGACATATCACAGACACTGTTGTAAGCAAATGCCAAGGCCTCAGGCATCTCAGGCATGAGGAGAGAAAACGAAAGTTTGTCAAAAGTTCCCTAAGCACCCAAAGCTGACAACCGAGTATCAGAGCCTGTAAGAGCACCAGCTGATATTAGTGAAATAAAAACTGCCTCCCCCTCAAAAAAAATAATAATAAACACTTGTAACTGACTGAACTTTTGTCAGATTTGGCAAAATGTCATCCTTTCACTTTTGCAACAAGAAAAGATTAAGGTTGGTCTGATGGGACCAGTGTGAAGGATGGAGTTTGAGTTGCATTCAAATTCATCTTACAAAAAAAAAGCACTGAGAACATTGAAAATATCCAAACTAAACATTTCAGGTTGGCTGAACTCAGCAAAGCATTTGCAGTGAAAACTGGGCCTTTTCTCTCCTCCACTTTCTTTCCCAAACAAAATAATTCACCAAGAAAATGCAAGTGATTCATGACTAAAATGTCTGGACCAACTTCAATTCCACATGAAGGCAGTGATGAGCCTTTAGCAGGCGTTGGTCTTGGTCCTAAAAAGACTTTTTAACTTAAATGCAAAAAACAAAAACCAAAAGATTCAGTGCATGATTGATGATTGAGAATTCCCAAATCAGTGGCAGAAGATGATGCATGATTCCAAGCGATTTACAAGAAAAATAAACCGTACTTAACAACTCTATAAAAATCTGGAGAATTGAAGCGGTCTGGGGGAAGTTCTAGCTCATGTCTCTAAAAATCCTAATCCTTCCCTTCTACCTCAGGGGACTGAGGGTGGCGGGAAGATGCTACTGGGGATCCAGGGACTTCTGTGTCGGCATCACATCTCATGTGGTCCTGATGCGAGGTGAGGTCCGGCCACATTAGGTGCATCTGTGTCTGTAAGGATGCTGCTACAGGGTCGGCATGCAGCCCGCCCGCTTTGCTCTCGGCCTTTCCCTTTTCTCTTCAGGTGTGATTTGCAGAGCTCAGAGGCACGTGTGCCTGTCTGCCTGTGCCTGTCTGTGTGCGTGTGTTTGCATGTATGTGCCTCTCCATGTGTGGAGGTGCCTGCCTGTGTGAGTGCCCTCCTGTGAGCGTGACTGCCTCTTTCCACTTCCCAGGTACGACCAGGGAAAGCGACCAAATGGCTTTGGGTTCTAGAAGCAACATCTAGGAAATAGCAGAGGGAAGAAAGCTTCAAGTCCCTGGTTTTAAGGTTTTGTTTTGTTTTGTTTTGGTTGGGGGCTACGCCCGGTGGTGCTCAGGGGTTACTCCTAGCTCTGCACTCAGGGATCACTCCTGGCAGGTTTGGGGGACTGACCATATGAGGTGACCATTGGGGGATCAAACCTGGACTGGCCACGTGCAAGGAAATACCCTACCTGCTGGACTATTGCTTCAGCCCCCAGATTGTACTTTTTTGGAGCAATCTGATGCCATCATCCCTAACTACTATCACTACTAATACAATAAGTACGACTACTACAACAACTATTGTAAGTAGGACATCAATAACTACTACCACTCTACTACCACTCTAAGTACTAAAAGAACTAGCACTATCCTAAGTACAACTACCATTATAGCAAACCACCATGCTGCTCTAACAACTATAATTCTATAACAACTACTACTATACAATTAATACAAGTACTACAGCTACTATGTCACTGTCACTGTCCTCCTGTTGTTCATCGATTTTCTCGAGAGGGCCCAGCAACGTATCCCTCGTGAGACTTTGTTGTTACTGTGTTTGGCATATCATATTGAATACGTCACGGGGATCTTGCCAGGCTTTGCCGTGTGGGCGAGATACTCTCGGTAGCTTGCTGGGCTCTCCGAGAGGGGTGGAGGAATCCAACTCGGGTTGGCCATGTTGGCTGCACGCAAGGCAAACGCCTTACCGCTGTGCTATCGCTCTAACCCACAGCTACTATATAACTACTATTACATAACTACAGTGTGACTGTAACATCTATAGCAACTACTACTACAATTGCTATTCTAAGCATTACAACTATTAAAATGACTGCTATGACAATTACTACTATAACTACTACAGCTACTATTATAATTACTACTATGAGTACTGCAAGTACTTCTGTAACAAACTACTACATTTTCTCTATAAGCACTACAGCTACTACTATAAGTGCTACAACTACTATTATAACTACTACAACCACTAAAATGACTGCTACCACAACTACTACTATAAGTACTATAACAACTAGTATAATGCTATAACGACTACTAGGACTACTATTGATGCTCTAACTACTAGCATTACTGTCACCCCAACAGCTTCTACTATGACTACTGCCACTCCTGCTCCTTCCCAGACGCTGGCAGTGCCAAGGGACCCTTCCCTCTTCTTCTAGGGTCAGATTTCTCAGAATGTGTTTCTCTTCCTGAGGTCTGCAGGAGGCAGAGGGGAGTCGTAAGAGGCTGTGATGGGCCCCCAGCTACCACACCCAGTGGCACAGAGAGGGAAAGATTCCCGAGGGGCGTCTCCATGGAAATATGGGCAGGGGCACTTGACTCCAAACCATTTCCACTGGCAAATTCTTGATTGAACTGAAAAAGATGCTTTCTTGTTTACCGGTTCCGATTTCCACAGCTCATTAAAAATAAAAGTTGGGGGTTAGGGGTTATTAGGGATTTTGGGGGGGATGCTCTCTCTCCTCTCTCTCTCTCTCTCTCTTTTTGTTTTCCTTTTACCTTCCCTTCTACCCCACCCCTACCGTCACCAAAGTGGAGGAGATTTTCCTTCCTTCCAACTCTGACAATAACGTGATTACCCCACCACAGTTTAGCATAATGGCTCTGAAATGCTCTTGGCACATTGCAGAGTTGAAGTGGAAATTATTAGGTAGCTCTTCTTTGTTAGAATAATGATCACTCCACAAATAAAAGCTCTTCTCCCCAAGGTACTGCGAGGCACAAAATGCTAATTCTGAAGATGGTGTGTGCGCTTTTATTAAATATTACTCTGCCCTGCCTGTGAGTGCGCCTCTGCTCTGATTGTTTTATGAGCACCGTGTTAATGTCATTCCCATCCCGCGAGCAGCAGGCCCACATCTTAGCGTTTGTCTGAGAGTTGATCAAAGGCCACGTGCTGGGGGAATTGCTGAGAAAACACGGACAAGCGATA